CATATTCAGAAAATTTGTATTAAAAAAAAATAAAAATAAAATACTTTGAGACATCGGATCTAAGATCAAACGGTGAGTGACTCTCTTGATTAAAAATGGACAGCTAGATAGTAGGGGGAGGATAGAACTTCTATGTTATAGGAAAAACATAGAAAGCTTTTCCTTATTTTTATGTCACACATTCCTTTATTTTTGGGTTATTACTAAAACACCCCAATCACATATTGATTTTTTCAAAATCACCTTCACGACTTTTTAAATCTTATTTAGAGGTGTTTTGTTTAATTTTACTTTAAATTTTTTTTTTTTTCATATTTTTTAGGATTCTTTTTGTATTTTATTTTATTTTACACTTTTTACCCTGGCTAGGAGGTGTCTAGCTCAGGCTTGGCTTACTCGGACTCGACCCTACCCAGGGCCGGGTTCCGAGGCCAAGTCGTCCTTCCCTACACTGCTCATGAGTTTTTAAAAAAGGTGCATTTTACTTCATTTTAAGACCAAACCATTTTGGCTAATTAAAAGAAAACATTAAGTTAAAAGAGAAAGTATAACATGAGACCATTTATCTTTGATACAAAGTGGTCACAAATAATCATGATGTGAAATTGAGTGGCTGCAATTATCCCATTAACTAAACTTGATAAGTTTGCGATATGTACGTGTGACATAGGGGTACGATTCTGATTCATATTAATATAATCCTAAGGGGAAATTTTATTGGGACAAGGAACAACTACTAGAGGGACTGAACTAAGAAATTTATATCTAAGAACTCACGTGTTGATGGTTAATCTTAGATAATAAACATAAGGCACAAAGCCTTTTTTATTACACAAATGGGTCAGAATCATGTCTCCCTGTAAGCTTCCCTTGTCTTCAAGATACTCACCCTCCATTATGGAGGACACGTTCCAAGAAACCGTAATGTATAAAGGATAAGCATATGGGTTCATGAAGATAAGGTCCCATATTATATATGTGTGTGTGTTTTTGTTGGGGGGAGGGGTGTTTGCATGAGGTTGAAATCTTAAACAATCAAATTAGGGTGTACCTCCAAATTTTATTATAAGATGTAATTTTAGTATAAAAAATTATTAGGATGGTGTGAAAATATATTTTAGTCTCTAATTATAAAATTTTTAACTCTAATAATGGTTCAAATAAAGTAGATCTATAAATAACATGAAAATATTGAAAATCAATGGTCTGAATAATATGTTGCAAGATGCAATATTTTTGGGACTTAAAATGTTTTTATTTTCATATTTATATATCTCAATGTTGAGATGATCAATTAGAGGGGTTTTCAATGTCACAACAGTATTTTCCTATAGATTTTTGAGGTGTACTTTTATTCTACATTTTAAAGTTGCAACACTAAATCAACCTCTTTTTTCATATTTATATGCTACGTTTTTGTTTTTGTTTTTGTTTTTTTTTTTTTTTGTTTTTTTTTTTTTTTTTTTTTTTGGGTGGAGCATAAATTACCATGACATAGCATTTATTTTGAAGTACGTATGGTGTGGGAGCGTGCGTTGAGTGGAAGGCTTCCACTCACTTTCTCACTGTCCCTTCTCCCCCCTAAACTCAAACCCCATTATGAGTTTAGTGGTACACCATGATGAATTCCCTCGGTAGTCTTGAAAGGTAGCGTGGTACACCATAATGAATTCCCTCGGTAGTCTTGAGAAGTTTTTTATCAAATTGTTGTAAAAAATTCACTGAAGCCAATGTATAATATGATTCATTTGACTATAAAAATCTGTGGTTATGAGTGTCATCATCTTCCGTGCAGCGGATCGACGTTGTGTCTGGAACAAAGAGTGGGCCCTGCCAAAACACGTGACGATCCTAGTGGTAGGGCCTTTTGTCTCCATCACCATCCATCCATTGATTAGATGGTGATATAAACTTATGGCCTACAAGTTTTCTATGGTCACATTCAAATTGGTGTACATCCACAATGGAGTCATTTTCAGCCTCAGTGCTCTTTGAAATATGGCTCTTAGAGGACTAAAATATTTTGTCATAAGCATGTGGGGGATATAATGATAATTTTCACAATTGAAGGAGCATTGTGGTCATAGTTAGAAGTCTTATTGAAATATGGCTCTTAGAGGACTAAAATATTTTGTCATAAGCATGTGGGGGATATAATGATAATTTTCACAATTGAAGGAGCATTGTGGTCATAGTTAGAAGTTTTATGTGGACATCTCTAGAATCAAAAAACAATGGGCATTTTGTGCACCTGCCCTTCATTATTTATAAGAATTAAATATACCACAAAGTTGAAAGCTTCTCCAAAAAAATTTTATTTGTGTGGGTTGTCCCCACGTTCAAGGTCAGTCTCCATGTGCTCTTGAATTTTTTGGTTTCCACATTCTTAATATAAAAATGCACATCATATATATTGCCTCTCTCTCTTAAATTCTTTTGGCTCCCACACTCTTAGTATAAAAAGGCCACCAAAGATTCTCAAATTTTTGTGGCTCCCATAATAGTTATATCTTGGGTCTCTCTCTTAAATAACATAATCATTTAGTTTTAACTCATTGTTTATTAATTCATTCTTTTTAGTCACTCTTTTATATCTCTAAAATCAATTTTCAACTCCAACAATAAAACCAAATTTGTTGAAATAGACTCCTAGATAACTTGTTGCAATATATATTATTTTTTTAACTTTAAATCATACATTATTTTTAGAACTTTAAATCTTAATTTGTTTTTTAAACATAATGTTCAAGTCATAATAATGAAAGGGTTTTTGGGTCGAATGCAATTTTCAATGAGTTATGAGGTGAGGCACTTTCCTTTATTATTTTTATTTGGTCATCGACTACCTCACTTTTATTATTTATCATTTCTTACTATGTTTATTTTTGTGCAAGTATTTATGTCCTTATTTCGTGATTGACACGAGAGACCCGCCCTGTGTTTACACTGGGATTGACTTTGATGAACAGTCATCACCACTCCCCTCTTTTTTCTTTCATTGTGATTTTTTTCCTGTGATTTTTTTCCTGTGATTTTTCTCGTTCATACTGTTTACCAGTTAACTTAGGGTGAAGGATCTTGCTAGAAAGAGATGGGTTGCTGATCATGGGCATAAAAGATTTGAAGGCTCCTGTCTGTTTACTTTTTTTTTGGCACTGCATGGTGCAAGAGTGAGGAAGGTCATCACCTGTAGTACACATTTTGGACATAGTGGTGTGGCTTCTTTTTTCTTCTTTTGTTGACTCTCTCTCTTGATTGTGGGTGCCTTTGAATCTGATCTCCTTTTCTCCCCACTACTCACCTTTTCCCTATCTGCATCTTCTCTCTATTCCCAATGCTAATTTTCTACATTTTCTCTCTCTGTTCCCAATGCCATGGTGGTGGGTAATGTTCATGAGTCTCTGTCATGTTTCTGAAACATACCCTCATGGTCTGCTCTCCCCATTGTTTGCCAAACTTAGCACTCTTGTCAGACTGCATCTCACTGTGGTATTCCTGCTGCTTGAACTTGGAACTTAAACTTTTTCTTTGATTATTATATTGCTTCACTTTGTTTTGTATTGATACTTTTTTGGGTCCTTTGATCCAGGGGTGGAGAGCCACTGAAACCTTGTCTTTTGGGACTTAGAAAAAAGGTTGGATTTTGGATGACTTTTTTGGGGTTTTATGAGAGAAGAAATCGCATCATTCTTTGGCTCTATCAAATGGGTTTCTGTAGTTTTATTAGGGTTTAATTTCTGAGATGATTCCTTTGATGTTGGAAAAGTACCCATATCAGCTTTGGTGCTCATGTGCGTATGCCTATTATTAGTGGCTTCCATGGAGGACTGTTCTTCTGAGAAGCTGCCAATTTTACTATAAATGCGTAATTTTTTGTGTGTTCATCTAGATCCCCTAGCCTTTTTGTGTGTCAAAATTGTAGTTGGGTGTCTCTGATCTTATTTTAGCTTGTAGTTTTTTTTCTTTCGTTTTTTTTTTTCCTTTTTTGGGAGGTGGGTTAGCCATGGATTCTCATGGCTGCTTCTCTATGGATCACTCACCTTCTTATAGAGCCTCTGATGACGAGTTCCAATTGGAGTCTAGATGGCTCCTTGATCCCAAACTACTCTTTGTCGGCCCACGAATTGGAGAGGGTGCTCATGCCAAAGTATATGAGGGAAAGTAAGTCCCAGTTTCCCCTTTGACTTCTTCTATTTACAGAATTTACTGGGGTTTATGGGAGCCAAATGCATATTTATTATAGGTTTTGCCTTCTATCTTATTCAAATTGTCTGTTGAACAGGACATGCCCATGGTTATGATTAGATGTTGGGCAATTGCATCTCTGGGGCAATTTTGGCAGCTTACATCGCTTATATAGTTTTTTTATGTTTAATCGCGACAGATGTTTTCTTTTTAGTGTTATAATTTCTTTTGTGTTATAAAACTTTCAGATACCGGAATCAGAATGTTGCGATTAAAATCGTTCAGAAAGGAGACACCCCTGAGGAAATTGCGAAGCGAGAGGGGCGTTTCAATCGAGAGGTTGCTATGCTCTCTAGAGTTCAACACAAGAACTTAGTAAAGGTCTGTGTTCAAACAACTAGAATTGACAATAGAAAGATTGAAAATAAATCTGCATATTCTTTCTTTGATGTCGAATTTAAACTATTATTGTTTATCTATCTAATCGTCTCAGACCATTCAGTAGTTCTTATGATGGCTAGTATTTGGTTACTCAGTTCATTGGGGCTTGTAAGGAACCTGTTATGGTGGTGGTCACTGAGCTTTTATTGGGTGGATCACTACGAAAATACATGCTGAATTTGCGTCCAAAACCCTTGGACATGCGTTTTGCGATTGGATTTGCCTTGGACATTGCTGAAGCAATGGATTGCTTGCACTCCCATGGGATCATTCACCGTGACCTTAAACCAGGTAAGCCTGAAATACACAAACCATGAAACATTAGGAACTAATTTGATCATATCATTTTTCCTGTTATCCTTTTTTGGGCATGGTTAAGAGAGGCCAATTTTATTGGTTTTCATCAAATTTCATGTCTCCTTTATGTGGCGGGAATTTATCAAAACTCACCTACAGTGTCAACAATTTATCATTTTACCCATTAGCAAAACACACATGAAATATGAACTATTCTAACTTCATCTCTTGGGTGCTTTTTAATAAGTTTCCATTTATTTATTCTTGCCGACTGTTTTTCTCCCTTTTTGGTAGGTTTGAGTTGTGATTCTTGACTTGCTTTACCAGGCTATTGATCTAGGTAACTTATTTCTTTGATTTAATTCACTATCTTGGTTGAAAATTTTAGCACATGGGTTATTACAACGTAAGGAATTTAGCACCCCACACTCTAATAGACATCCTAGAGACCCCATTCCAGGCCAAAAATCTACCTCCTGTTTAGAAGATCACCTCCATGAAACTTTTGTTTTTTAAAGTTAATATCTGCGAGAAATTAACAATTACCTTATCTTGTAAGTTTGTCAATCTCAACAAAAAGACTTGCCCATTTGACGAAATGGAGGAACTCCCTTTCAACAGTCGTGGGTCAGAAAAAGAAGCGACAGTTGTGGGTCAGAAAAAGAAGCATTAAAACATTGAAACAATTGAGAAGAGCTTTAATTTCAACTATTGTAGGATCCGCAATTCTAAAAGAATGCTTCCACCTGCCACTTGGAGAGAAATCCCAACTTTCTTGACATTGACCTTCCTTTGAGGTTGTGTTCCTAGTGCTTAGAACGATTTTGCAAAAAAACCACCTATCTGTCTCGATCTGTACTCATGCGTTAACCCCTTTCAACAAAACAAATTCCCCTTCTAAGAGTTTTGTCGGAATCACCCGCTTTGCCAACTCATCATTTCTCATGTTCCTTCTAAGCCTTCAGTCCCCTTCAACTCATCTGTTGTCTGCTTGAAGTGATTCACAATGCAATTCATCCTATATACTTCCAGGCTGGAATGAACCCAAATAAGTAGCTTGCATTGCATATCCGAAATCAAGTCATCATCATTCATCGTCGTCCGAGCCTTGTCCCAACTATTTGGGGTCGGCTACATGGATCATGTTCTGTTTTTAGGACTCCTGAAGGGTGCGGCAAAATTTTACTCTGGCTGCCTACCTAATACAACCTTCCTTTATCTGTTCTTGGGACCGGCATGACCGGCTTGGGACCAGCCATGGAGGAGTTATATTAGAAATCAAGTATTGCTACAAAATCGAAACTAGTTTGCACCCCCATGCTATCCAACAGAGTTTTTTGAATTCCCAACCCACTCCATAATTGATCTTTAAATCATCTCAAAGCTTACTAAACCCCCTGTTCGATCTCATTATCCACTTCTCTGTATCGTACATGTGTTTCTCCAATGAATGTACTCTATGAATGCTCACCTAGTCTTCCATGGCGGATCCACACAATGCTTGGTTAATTGAAATTAACCTCTTCCGTTCAAAGAAAGACCAACAGCAGCTCTCCAAATTCTAACTATTGACTAGAGAGCCATTTGGAACAAAGATGTGTTGGGATAGTGGACTCAGAAATGTGGTGTATACAATTATTTTTAAGAAATGGTGGAGCTTAGCCACAGAAAGGAAGATAGTGGACTTCTCATGGGGCCTAAAATATTTCTACCTCTAGATACTATCAGGACTCACATGACTTAATCATGCAATTTGGATAGCGTAAGTGGGTGTTTGTCACACCTATCCTCCCAACTCCTTCCCTACCCCCTATTAATCCTTTGGAAACCAGCTCATTACATTCAAGGATAAATATGAAGTTCTCTAATTCATGCCAAATGCATTGCAAAAACAAAACCAGGATGCTGATGTAAACTTGAAATAAGAAGACCACTTCTTGTTGCATGTCTGATTCCTTAGGAATTATGTGAAAGCTACCTATTAGCCCCCTAGAGTATTGATTTATCTGCTCTGCAGAAACTTGAAATATTTAAGATGTCATATATCAAGTTTACATGACTCACAAGCAGCGTTTTTATTGGATTTGGAATTTTGATGAAGGTGAATTATTTGGGTTTGGGGGTCTGGATTCTTAGTCGAGTTTAGATTATTTGCTGTCCTTATGTTTCCTGTCTAGATAATGTTGTGCATAATTTTATCATCCTTGTGTATGTTGCAAGATTTGAGATTCCAAATTCAGTTTTGGGTTTTCCAAAACGGTAAATGAAACTGACTCTGGGTAGTTTTTTTTGGAATCACGACGCAAATTATGGGTTGAAACATACAATAATTTTGCTACAAACAACTCAAGTTTCGAAGGGTTAAATTTCAGAGGGAACTGTTCAAAGTTCTGACTGAATTTTGACCAGAACTTATCCATTTGTTTTTCAATTTTGAGAAAGTCATGTGTCAAATTTTTGATGAATTTTACTAATAAAGAGATAAAAATATTGTTAAGTAATAGAGAAAGAAAACATTTGATAGATTTTTGTCAAAATTTACTGAATTTTGGTTCGGGATCTGGTGAAGCTCGGATGAATATTGGTTATTGAGGAGGGTTTAACATCTCTAAGTGTTGTTTTGGGTCTTAGATCTCCACGTGTTTTGGCTGACAGAAAAACAAATTTTGGAGTAAAATATAGCAAAATTGTGAAGGTCAACGAAGTTATTTTCTGTATATGGTTTTTGTGAGCTATAAGCAGTAAAAAACAAGTTACAAACTAGTTGTTGCTTCTTTTATATTCTATCGTTTTTCGTTGTAGTGTTCCATAGATATCCTCTATTGGTCTGAAATCTATGTAATACAAATGGAGCTGTTCCTGAGCCTACCAGGGTCCTAAGACCCTATTCCAAGAAGAAGACCCATTGAATATAGAATAGGAGCAAGGGCTTCTATGGAATTTACAACTCTTGGGATTGAAATTGAATTCAAGGTTACATCTGGATTGAAATTGAATTCAAGCTTACTCTAGAATTTCGGCAACTGGCATTGGTTCCGAAATAAGTCATGTTATGTATCAATCTAGTGTAGCTCAATGAGAGGAGCAAGAATCAGGCTCCACTAGATGGATTAGGCTGGATTTTAACAACCCTATTCCAAAATCCTATGAAATTTGGAATCTTTAATATGGAAATTGAATTCAAGTTTGCATCTGGATTGACGTTGAAGGATATGTCCAGAATTCCATCACTGTCGCTGGTTCTGGAATAAAGCATATTATATATTGATCTGTGGTAGCTCGAAGAGAGGAGCACGATCATTGGCTTCACTAGATGGAATGGCATGGATTTTAACCAAATTCCACTAGCTAGTGGGGAGTCCCAATTTTTTAGTTTCTGGACTGTTCTGGAATTTCTGAATTTATTTCCAATTAGGGGTGGATTTGGAAGATTCGGAATTAGGATTTTGATTAGGATGATATGAGATTTTTAGGGAAGTATTAGGGGTAGAACTCATTCTTTTATGCTGTAAAGAGTCTTGTTTTACTTCGGTTTCTGAGAGATTTGATTATTGTTTTAAGTTTTGTTTCTAAACCGATCAAGGGACCATTGACGACTGGCAAGGAAGTGCATCTTTTATTTGCTTTTGTGATTCTCTTGCGGATGTCTTCCATTGTGCATGTTTTGAACTTGCTCTACACTAGTAAACCAACAAAATATTTTAGTAAAGGAAAAACAATTGACCATAAATTAAACTCTTTGAAGTTTTCAAAGTGGTTCTTTGGATCAATGTAATTTAACTTTGACATCAAGCTTCACCTTTGGAATTTCAGCACTGGAAATTTGATGCATATGTTGAAGATGTGAGAGAGTAATTTTTCCCTAATGATGAGGATCCAATAAGATATATTTATCATTGAGAAAAATACTTGGTTCCTTTGGCCCAATCTTTTGATACCAGGCTTGCAGGAGAGGTCAAGATTTCAAAGCTTTCTCATTCCAAACAGAGCTGGCCTGCCAATAAAGAACTATATTTACCTCCATTGTTATTAATAGGTTTAGGCCTGGCCGTCTACGATGGAGTTGAGCTTATACAAGGGCCTAGATTGTTTCAAATTAGGCTGATGCTTCTCCTTGGTATAAGATGAAAACAAGCTATGGTTCCTAAAACTTGGCATATGCTTCCTCAAAGCTATCCATCAAGGCATGGCTAGAGATAATTGGCAGTCTCATAACAACTCCATCATTCTCAGGAACGACAATGGGTATGAACTGTAGTTCCATATGAATGTTTGTCGTGTGAACTAGGGCTTCATCTCCACCATCTCTGAGAACAGATGGAGGATACCCCCTGTTTGTGGTGTACCATATATTAATTTGAATCTAGATTTTATAGATTACCAAAATGATTGATATTCTTGTATTGGTGTTCTACCTTCCTTTCTTTGTAGGTCAAGAAGGATTCTTGTGTTTCTAGGTCCAAAATGATAGGAGATGTAAGTCCACAAGCAATGTAGCAATTAAGATAGTTTGGGTACTACTTGATGGTTGAAATTTTAATGCTCCTTGCCTTAGACCTACTTTCTAGGTATGCAACGGCATATTAATATTGCTTTAATCTTGTACTTCATGCCAAAATCGTTTAGTAGCAAATTCAATGGAGAGTGGCTCATCTTCAAGAAGGATTCTTGTGTTTCTAGGTCCAAAATGATAGGAGATGTAAGTCCACAAACAATGTAGCAATTAGGATAGTTTGGGTACTACTTGATGGTTGAAATTAGTGCTCCTTGCCTCAGACCTACTTTCTAGGTATGCAATGGCATGTTAATATTGCTTTAATTTTGTACTTCATGCGAAAATAGTTTAGTAGCAAATTCAATGGAGAGTGGCTCATCTTCAAAGATCATTTATAGTGTTTTTTTTTTCCCTCTTGTTACTACCCAATAGATAGTTCCACGAAGTTTGTGAACCCTAACCATGGTATCCACATATCTGACGAGTTGATGGCGCTTAACTTTCAGATTTTTGCAAGTTGCAAGATTTTATTCATGACTTCTGCACAGTAACAGCCCAAGTCTCAAATTTGCAGCAGCTGGTATCCATAGCTTACATGTGTGGTCACATGAGTACGAATTAAATCTCAGTTTGCATTTTGGGTTCATAATTTTTTTAAAAAGGACCTTTCCCCTCTCTTTTTAATATAAAATGTGGTGGGCAACATTGTCAATTTCGTCCCTAGCCACTGAATGTGCAGATGCACAGACTGACAATTGATAATACAATAGGGGATAGTCATTTTGCATGCATGATGTCACAGGTGCAGCTTATGGAGAATCACTGCTGTCAAATCATGACGTGGTCTTTAACCATGTAGATATTAGAAATGAAATTTCACATGCTGCAAACAGCACTCTATAAAAACTTTCTAGGGTCTTAGGATGTAAATGTCAATCTCTACTGTTGTTTATCTAAGTGTTGGTTATCTTGTATTGATATTGATTTACAATATACTACCATTTGTTTCATGTAGAATTTCATCCTTCCATTGCATTCTTGGTTGGTATATTGGATGCATGCAAAAGGAAGCGTGAGTTCACTGCTCAGACCTGGCCTTTGGTTCAACTTAATGCAACTGTGGAATTCTTGGATGCTAACTGGACTTTCTTAAGAGTCCGGCCTAATATTTTGGTGACCAAATAATCTTGCAGATAACAGAGATATTTTGAACTTTCTTATCTTCAAGGCTTGAATGTTGTGAGTTGTCCCACATTCAATGGAACTTTTTAGATGGATGAACTTTCTCATGTACTATTTCTTTTGCTTTTCCTGATTGTATGATTGATCTAGGAATATGTGTGTATATGCCTACACTCCCACTTCCCCACTTAGGCAATCATACGCTAAAAACGTGCTCATCCACATGTACACTTTACAGATACTATTATGAGAAAGTTGAGTTTGTGACACATGCACACTTACATGTGTACATTTGGTATTTTCAGTCATACACCATATCCTTATTAGTACTGTGACTCGGTGAATTCCATCTAGATGAAAATACTTGTGCTATTAGTGCGTTGTGAACATTTTTCTCATGCATTGACTCCCATGACATCTGAATATAGGGGTACATATGGAAATTGCTGTGTTTTCAACCCATTGGATTTGTAGGGTGTCAGGTTCCTTGGTCACATTGCATTTCAGGTTTAAAAGTAAAAAAATGGCTGCATTTTCATTCAGCCAAATTCAACTGCATTTTGGATAATTTGAAACACAAATGCTAAAAGAATCTGTGTTTTGGCCTAATTCATTTTGAATATTGGTTGACTTTCAACAAAATCATGTAATCTATTGACACTTGGATGTTTGGTATTAAGCCTATCTCAGTTTAGATAGTCCAATGGTGGAAACGATTTTGTATCCTTGTATTATATCAATGGTAATCTTTTACCTAAGACATATACAATGACCAAAATGATTTCTCTTTCGATGCACCACAAGAACAATGTCTTTCTGCTAAGCCACAATAACCACCAAGGCACTAACTACTTACTATGAAGCATGATCCTGATGTGGTCATCTTCTGTAGACATACAAGAGCCACATTACCTACAAATGATAATTGTACCCATGTAATTGTTGGGCTAACCCAGTCGAGCCCTCTCGCATGAATGCGGATGCATGTAGCGGAACCCGGATTTATGGGACACAAGATGTACCAAAACCGATGTGCGTGTGTATGAGTGAAAATCGCGTAATAAAACAAATAAAATAAAAGCTTACTGGCACCTAGATTTACGTAGTTCACCATTTTAGGCTATACGTCTACGGGAGGAAGAGATAAGATCCACTATTAAAATAATGGTTACAATGTTCTTCCAAGAAACAAGCTTCTTTGATTCTCTGATTTCTTCTAGAGGGTTTTCTCTCTCTAGGTTTTTCCTCTCTGAGGTTCTCTCTCAAAAGCTTCTTTTCTTTTTTGGAGGCTTTCTCTCTTTCTAAAAGAAAAGGTTCTCTTTCTATCTAACAAGCTTCTCTCTCTCTCTCTTCTTCTCTGCAAATAGGATCACTAGATTTCTTCTTTCTACAATGGAGAGGTTCCAACTAAAAAGAAGAGGCTTTGGTTAAACCCACCAAGAGAACAACCACCCCCCACTTGAGGCCCTTTTATAATTTGTTCTCTCTCTAAGGTAGATAAATGGTGGAATATTTGACCACTTTATTTAATCTTATCTCAATTGGGGTCCACATGAGGATATCTCTTTTGAAGAAGCCTACAACCTCTCAGGTGTAGTTATCTTTTGTTAACTATCTCATATGACTTGAACAACAAGTGAACACATGTTTATAACTAAGGGTCCTCTACAAGGAAAAAATTCCATTTAGGTAACTCCCACATGGGACGGACTCTCCCAATAATAATGACATGAAAAAGATAAAAAGCAGAGTTCATGTTAGTACAAGTATGCTTAAATTTGATGTTTATACAATTTACCTGTTACGAAGAGTGCAAAAAGATGAATATTATGTTGGTTTATTAATGCTATTAGGAATGACAAGAATAGTGGCTTTTCATCATACCTGAGCATGTGGAGTTGAAGCCAGTTTCAGTACAGTTCTTGGTCATTGATTCGTTTGTTTACCTTTTATTTTTGCTGGAACTTGGGAAGTCAGAGCACGAACTGGGTTCCCTCCTTTTCATATGCATGCGACTTTCTATTTTTTAGGACATTTTACCTGTTATATAAATGCATTTTTTTTAATTCCAATTCCATCAATATCATATATTTTTTAGCTTCATTTGATACCTACCCTTGTTTTTTTCCAAAATAGTTTTCAATGGTATGGATTTGTTTCTCTTTCAATGGTATGGGTGCATTCCCTTTTCTTTTATTGAATCTTAATCAGTATATGATGTATTTATTGCTTATCTTGTTAGAATGCATGCAAAACTATAGACGGCTTACTCCTTCATTTGGGTGGATGATATGAGCAGTCCTCTGTTTTAAATGCTCCAAATATCCCCTTTTTCTAACACCCACATCTCGTATTTCTGTTACTTTTTTCTTGTGATGTTCTTTTGTTTTACTTTTTTCTGTTTTGTACCAGAGAACTTACTACTGACTGCCGACCAGAAAACAGTGAAACTGGTAGATTTTGGTCTAGCAAGGGAAGAGACATTGACAGAAATGATGACAGCTGAAACTGGAACTTATCGATGGATGGCCCCTGAGGTCTTTGCTCCTTGCTTCTCTTCACTTCAATTTTTTTTCAAAAAATAAAAAAGAAAACTAATAAAACTGACTAATGGATCATTCCATTATCTTTCTTGCAGCTCTATAGTACTGTAACATTAAGACATGGAGAGAAAAAGCATTACAATCACAAAGTAGATGCTTACAGCTTTGCAATCGTGTTATGGGAATTGTTACACAATCGGATGCCTTTTGAGGGCATGTCAAACCTTCAGGCAGCTTATGCAGCAGCTTTTAAGGTGATTCTAGTCAATCTTTGACCCCAAAAAATGTCCACAACATAAGTTATCATGCATTTATCAGATGGCCTGGGATTGACTGGTTAGCAACTGACATTTAGTAGCCATACGTCTCAAGTTCAATTACTACCACTAAATTACCAAAAAAAAAGAAGAAGAAAAAGAAAAGAGAAAGGTTAATGTCAAAAAAATTGGAAAAATCTATGTAAAAGAAATAAAATATGGAAAGATATAATGAAAAACAGAAGAACAGACATGAGGACAGAAGTACAAACAAAACAGTGAAGATTTTCTTACAATGGTCGAGGGTTATGATTTTATTCTTCCAAGTCATCACATGACCAGGAATGAAGTGCGTGTGTATGCCCACGTGTGCTTGTGTGTGTGTGCCCACGTGTGCTCGCACGTACTGATGCTGTGAATAAGAATACACTCTGAAATTCCAACATTTTCTCCCCAAGACATCCATAAATGATAAGATGTTGTGAATGTGATTTCTATCGAGTGTCTCACTTAGATTGCTTACACGCATCATATATTTGCCATTTAAGCTTGTTTGTAAATTATTAGCTGCCCTCTGTCTTGTTCAGAATGTGAGGCCTAGTGCTGACGATCTCCCTGAAGAATTGGCACGCATATTGACTTCGTGTTGGCAAGAGGACCCTAACTCCAGACCCAATTTCAGCCAAATAGGGCAGATGCTCAGGAATTATCTCTACACTATTTCTCCACCAGTGACATCGGTCCCTTCTCATGTTTTTACTTCTGAAAACAGAGTCTTGCCACCTGAATCTCCCGGCACGAGCTCCTTGATGGCCACTCGTGATGATATGGGAGAGACCCCAAAAGGCAACCTCACGAATAAACCAAAAGGTCTCTTCTCTTGCTTCAACCAATGCTACTGACCTTTTTATCTTTATTTTTATTTTTTTTGTAAGAGAAGGCACCCTGGTCATTTAGGCAAATCACCCAATGTATGTTTAACCATGGAGTTGTCCTCCCTATGTCCTGATAATGTGCAGTGACCGGCGCCTTAATGGGCACATTTAGTTTAACTTATACAAGGAATGTACCTTTAACCATGAAGTTTTTTGTTACATCTTCATAAATATCAGATATTGGACACTGACCCATTTGCAATTTCTCCCATGCTCATAATAAAATTAGTTTGAGGCATTAGTATGTATATTAATTTTGTCATTTTCAGATGGGTGGGTAAGCCTGTATTTGGAAAGATTTTGTGTAGAATATTGATTTGGAAGATGGCTAGTCTCCGAGTTTAGTGGAGCTAGTCTGTAAGGTCCAGTTTTTAAATGTTCATATTCAAAGAAAAAGATGGCAGATGTCAAGGCTGGTGACTGGAGGCTGTTTATTAGTGGAACAGAGCAAACATGAAACCAACATAATGGCAGCTATGAAATATATGCTGTGAAATGGAAAATGCATGTGAGCTGGGACTTTAATGGCCTCAAAGTATGAGGTCTATTGCCGTCCAATTTTTGGATGGCAGAAGGACGATAGTGAATGACTCTAGTAAGAACCTTACAAAGGATCATTCTGATATTTAAAAAGGATTGTATACTATGAAACTATCTATTTTTAGTATAAGGCAGTTACGAACATTTCTAGTTATTTGGATGTAAACTTCAATTAGATTGGCAGTGTGTCATAACATTAACATTCAAAAAATTTTATTTTGGACTCTGTGCAAACAATGATACCATTAACATTCAAGAAATTTTATTTTGGACTCTGTGCAAACAATGATGCGCATTCAACCACCTGATTTCAAATCCATTGGTAATGATGATTTTAACTTCTTATTGTCAAAAATAAATGGACTCTTTGTATACATTTTGTACTTAAAATACTAGAATATGTAGCTTTTTGAGGAAAGTGTTTATTAGGATATTCAAAGCACCAAAGTCTGTATCTTCACAAGGCAAATCATACAATGCAGCATTTGTATAAGAAATATGGTGATCCATGGGGAAATTCAGTAATATCCCTCTAATTTTTTGAAATTATAAAAAGTACTTTTTTTTTTTTTTTTTTGTAGTTTATGCGCGTATTCGTTTTATCTCCCTTCTTTGTTCTACATCTAAAATTCCCCTTAGATCCGCCATTGACACCCACTAGAACGGCGCAAAGGAAGCGCTGAAATGGTGCTTGTACCATAGTGCAACCGCTACGCACTTTTTAGGATCGTAGTGGTGTCAACGGCTATAGACTTAATTATTTGCTACGGATCTAACAGATCCTTAGTGGGGGATTTAAGATAGGAAAAAGTTTATATAGGGTTGCAACCTTAAAATGTAGAGTCAAAGATGCACTTTAAAAATCTATCGAAAATGTTGTTTTAATGTTGAAAAAACCCTTTAATTGATCATCTCAATATTGAGATGTATGAATGTAAAAAAAAAAACGTTTTTGCAACATATTATATAGACCGTCAATTTTCATATACTTATAAAGAGTAATGATCTTATAGGACTTTTTTCCACCCATGTGTGTAGGACTTCAAATGATCATCATTAAAGTTGATACGGATCTCTAGAAAAGTTATCACATGGATATGGGATTTGATATTTCTATAGATCCGTGTCAAATTTAATTGTGATCCCTTGGGGTTCTACACACATGGGTGGGGGAGAGTCTTATGCGATCATTTATAAATCTATTTGATTTTATTCATTTTTGGAATTTAAAATTTTCTAATTAGGTATGAAAATATATTTTAAGATAATACTAATAATATTTTACAACAAAATTACTTGTTATGATAAAATTTTAAGATGCTCCTTAATTGGATTGTGTAAGGTTGCAACCTTATAGAAAGTGCACCCTTTAAGATATAAAACAAAAGGAAAAGTTTATATAAGGTTGCAACCTTAAAACGTAGAAATACAGATGCACCTCAAAAATCTATCGGAAAGGTTGTTTTAATGTTGAAAAACCCTCTATTTGATCATCTCGACATCGAGATGTATGAATATATATATATAAAAAATTGAGTATCAGAAATAGTGTATCTTGCAACACATTATCTAGGCCATCCATTTTCATGATTTTCATATGTTTATAGATCTCCTTGATTTTAACTATTTTTGGAGTTTATAAGTTTCTAATTAGATTTGAAAATAGATTTTAAGATAATCCTACGAATTTTTTACAACAAAATTACATGTTATGATAAAATTTGGAGGTGCGCCTTAATGGGATTGTTTAAGTTTGCAACCTTATCGAAACCGCACCCTAAAACAAAAGGAAATGCTTTTTATGTGACTCCACACACATAGAGTATACATAACCTTTGGTCTCAGCCGTTAGATTTGAGTAGATGGTTGAGATGGTTTGAGTCACAATGTCGCAAGCTGACTCTCGAGTGTCAAATCAAGATCGGACATTTTGTAACAAAAATTTGAAGCATGCATACATTTGACCAAAGCATGCATGATAAAAAGTAATAAATAATATTTCTTATGATGTAAAATTACTAAAATACCTCTGAAACTGTTAGAGGCATTTTGGTCATTTATTTTCATGAGATATATTTTTAAAATTTTTGTTGCTAGGTGCAAGCCCAGGAAGGAGATGGGATAGCCTGGTCATTTGAGGAACGTCTTTAGAGATGAGGGTTAATGGCTATATCGGTACGAGATCCAGAAATCACTGGGCAGTTTGTTTGGACGTAAGGGGATTCGTTCAGGGTCACATACCCTCTCAACAATTCACACGCCTTCGAGATATTCCATTGCCTAAAAGTTCGAACCAGCAAACCCTCGGAATGTACGCCTATGGAGAAAATTAACCAGCGTTTGAAAAATCGAACCGGTCTCGGAAACCGGCCAAGAGCCGGGTTTGAATAACTAAAAAATTGGTTGGTTCGACCGGCTTAATCGAACAGGTCTGGCTGGTCAAACAAGTGTTAAAGAGAAATTATTAAAAAATTAAGAAATGAAAAGTATATTTAAAGCTCGATTAAAAGTAGTGAAAAAAAATGGATTTTAAAAAATTGGTTTATGCCCAGGCTTGTTTTCAAAATTTTTTTAAAGAGATGGGAAAGTATAAAAATAAGTATTAAGAGGCAAAACATTTTTCAATCTCTTTCAAAATGATAAAAATTAGTTAAAAATATATCACAAACAAATCCCTCCCTTCTTTTTTTTAGGGGATTTTATATTTTTATTATTTTTTAAATATCCAAGACCACCAGAATCGGATTGGCGAGCGCCCAGTACTGGTTTGACCAGCCGAGTTTGGACAGTCATTGTAGGAGACAAAAGAACGATCAAGCAACACTGAAGAAAGAAGAAGAGGAGTTACATAAGGAAGTTGTAGATAGAAAGGAAGCAGAAAGAAATGTGTCGTAACAAGCGCATGCCAGGTTTTAAAGGTATGAATCCTTTATGATCCTACTTCTAGAATCATCCAAAGCAAGAAATCGGCTCCTTCCCAACCGGCATCAAAGAGAACAATGAGTCTTGATTGACATCTTGATCTTGATCTTGATCTTGATCTCGAAAATTTTTAGGATGGTATGAGAAATCTTGAACTTCAAAAATGATTCCATTAAAAAAGATCTATAAATGCATGAAAATTTTGAAAATGAATGGTCCAGATAATGTGTCACAAGATGTACTATTTTTAGAACTTGAAATCTTCTTTTTCTCCATATCCATATATCTTGATATTAAGATGATTATTGAGATATTTTTCCAAAATCAAAACAACTATTTTTGAAGGATTTTAGAGGTGCACCTTAATTCTACATTTTAAGATGTCAACCTTATATAAACTTTCTCCTATAAATAATAGTTTTAAATAAAGCATGCATACCGATTAGTAGGACAAGAATAAAGGAAAAGTATTTCATGAGTAAGCGGGTGCAAGAAACCCGCTGACTCACCAACATCCACCTTTAAGATCGATGTAAAAAACTCACAAAGTTTATATGGTGTAGAAATTTTTTCAAAGAAATCATATTTTAAATATCTTTTTCTTTTTTCATGTTCATGATCATTTTAACCTAAATCATGAATCTCCAAAATTTTAGATTAAAAAATATAATGACAAAATACCCCTAGAAATTTTCAGGGGTAGTGTGATAATTTTATTTTATTGGAAATTCTTATTTCATATTTTCACTAGTGCAAGTTAATAAAGGATTGGACATCCAAAATTTGGTGGCAAAATAGTATATAAAAGAATATTAAAAATAAAATAGGTTATAAATGTAACATTGTGATTGGGGCAATCTTAGCCCTCCATTCATAATGGACGGTTATATAAGGGGAAGCATATAAGTTTTATGTTGTAGCGGAGACATAGAAAGCTTGCCCTTATCTTAATTCACTTAACTTCTTTGTTTACACTAATATGCCATGCTTTGCGGTGAAAATTGTTTTTTAGTAAGGATACTTTACGTCATTAGAACGTGTCGAATGGATATTTTTATAAGAAAACAGCTGCATTTATTAGTGTTTAAGAAATAATCATTGTTCCATATGAGTGATATGATGTCATTATGCACGGTAGTTAGTAAATATTCTTTTTTGTGTCAATAATTTAAATTTTGTCTTTAATTAATTATCTAAAATACCTTTAGATAAAAAAACTTACTATATGGTGGGGTAAAGGTATTGAGTGTCTAAAAATGTTAAGTACATTAACAAAATACTTATATAAATGAGTACCCTAACCTAACCTTTTAAAAAAAATATGATGCAAATGAAATCTCAACAAAAGAAGGAAAACAAGTGCTTAGTAGCTCAAAACAATTTCACCATGTGATTGAGTGGCATTAATATCATCATTGTCAAAGCTTTTTTTGGGTCGGCTATACGAAGTCTAATCCGCCATTTGGCTCTATTAAGTGTCATACCCTTCGTGAGGTTATAAATCCCCACATTTTTTTTTACTACTTCCAATCATGTCTTTTTGAGCCTATCTCTTACCTTAGTGCATCCTCTTCCAAAAAAATAGTTGTTGAAGTAGAGTTCGTTCAACTCATTAATTTGCTATCAATTTAGAAGTCTAACGAGGACAATATCAAGCCTATGTTTATTAGGCCCCACTACTCGCTAGGGTCCTTGAAGCTAATGGAGCAGGCTTATTGGCAATAAATTCTGCTTCTTGAGAGGCCACTGGCCTTGAAGATAGGTTTTAGATTTGGCCATCAAAAAAGGAATTGGAAGATGCCTAAGAAGATTTTACATACGGAGGAAGTTTCCATAAGGCCTAGGCTTTATGAAATCCTCGCCCCAAAGTATTTTCGGCAACAAAAATCTCCATGAGGCTCTAAAAGAAAATTTTGAATATCAACAATAAAATTTAAAACTCAAAAAATGGTACACATCTTGTGGATCCATAAACACTTATTTTAAGGGCCAAATAAGCGGTATACATAATTTGTTATAAAATACACTATATTTAAAACTTGAAATCCTAATATGTTTTTTCACAACCCTAATATCCAAGCCAAAAAAATCTATGTAAAAGTCTTCAATACTTGGGATGAAACTCAATGACCCCTTAAATTACAAGCGAATAAAAGGCAAAGGAAGGGGGGTTCCGAGGAGTTGCATTGATCAATATAAAATCTGAGATTTTACATTAGCTTCTTGATAGGTTTATCCGAGCTAAAGTTCTTAGCTTATACATTTACAAGCATGATACATTCACCAGAAGCCACAATTCAAATTGACACATTTTCGTGATGAACATCTCTGGTGTGAAATTTATCAAATCCAACAATCGGTTATCACATTTTTTATTCATTTTCATTTTTTTCACAAGGCGCATCCACAATACTGTGCTCATACGTATATGCACTTCAGCCCAAATATAGTCCATTTCCCTGTTGGATTGACCTCTTAAATTCAATCGGTGCATATTCCCATAAAGTCCATAATTCGACGAGCATAATCCCCAGGAGCATACTAGAAAAAAATTCTATAACCATATCAATCTAATAGTCCATATAAATATTTTCCCATATTTATTTTTTATTAGGAATTAAGGTACCATTATTTGGAAAATATTTTCGTACGGTTGCAGCCCTAGACTAACCGAAAATTGTCGTTTTGGTATTAGAAAATAAGTGTCCCACAAATTCACAATATCCTTACCAACTTTTGAGCTTCAATTTCATAGTCGGTGTTGAAAATTTATTTAGAGTCAACGTGAAGATTTCCAAAGTGCTTTTCAGATTCGAGATGAGGCTTTACTTTGTTTTCAAAAAGCCTAAGCCTTATAAATTCTACATCTTTTTTCTTATGCTCATGAATTTAGAAGCCGTGGATTTAAAAGGACATGCGGCTAACCTTTAAATTCCTTTGCATAGGCATCGGTATATACTGATAATTTAAAGCACACGAAATAATCAAACACTTCGAAAGCAAGTGATAATTAAAAGCACACGAACTAGCTTAGCAAACAGCAAGTCATAATTTGAAGCACACGTGCAAATTGAGCAAATATATTTTCAGAAAAAAAAAAAAAAAGCATGGAAGGAGGACGGTGATTAGATGGGCTTTTTCCATCTCACTAACTTTATTGTTATATTATTATTAGGATGAAGTTTCTATAGGGCTTAGGCTTTTTGAAAACCTCCCATCAAATCCTCATTTGGAAAGAGCATTTTGGGCAGCAGAAATCTCCATAATAAATTAGAATCAATTTCTAAAACCAATAATAAAATTTGAAACCCATAAAATAGTATAAATCTTGTGAATCCATTAACACTTAACTTTTAAGTTGAAAATAGACGTTCTAGATTATTTGTTGCAATAGACATGATTTTTAAAGCTTAAAACCCTTTTTTTTTTTTTTGACAGTTCAAGCTGAGATAATCAATCTAAAGGCTTTCCCGTGCTTGAATTGTAATTTTTGATGAAATTATGAGGAGAAGCTTTAATATGATCGGGCTCCAACTCTATCAAACCATTATCCTTAATATCATTGCTGAATATGCATATGTCCTGATGGGACGTAGCATTTTTTTTTTTTCCTTGGCCCTAATGGTCAATAAAAATAGGAAATTTTATTAAACTACGCTTTTGCATTTCATCTTTTTACACTATCTGAGACTTATGGGTATTTTTTAATCGAGACAAATAATTCATATTTCATGACTACCGGGATAAATTTTTCTTAAAAATAAAACCTTCTTCACTTGAGAACAAAATGAAGAGCATAGCAATCATAATATTTAGACGACTTCATTCTTTCTTCATTTTACATCCACTCATATGTACTGCATGTCCACAGAGAGACTCCTTTAAAAGCTTTAAACCCATGACCCAAACAATGAGAGGAGAGAGAGAGGTACTAAGTTGAGAGCGAGACCCATTACAGTCATTAGAGATAGAAAGAGAAGAACCTTCAAGCCATAATAAAATTCAAAAAGGCTTTTTACTAAGAAAGAGCAATAATCCAATGCATGGAAATACAAAGACTACAGGTGAAGACAACATAGAGAGCTAAGATAACAGATTTAGAGAGAGAGAGAGAGACTATTGAAACTCAATCTAGAGAGAGAGACTATCCTCCAAAAGAAAGAAAAAGAGAGATAAAAAGCCAATTTACAAGCAACTCCTAAGGACCACAATAAAAAAAGGAAAGGTTCTCTGAATTCAAAGATTCTGCAACTTTGAAGCAAACAAATCTAGCAATGCAGGGCACCTTATCAATTCCTCCATCATCCCCTCTGTCACTGCTGGATAACCCCCAACTCCCATCGCCTGAGAACAAAACCCACCATCACAACCAACAACATTCTTATCCATGCCACCCTCCTGTAATTGCCTCTGCAAATCTAAATACATGCTCAAATGATCACTCTCTAATCCCTTGATCACCTCTTCCTCTACGTCACTACCCCGAAAACCCGCTGCATCCTCGATATTGCTGAGATTCCGCCCAAATTTTTCATCCGGTGATTTCTTCGGGAAGAACTGATGAATCACCTCTTGCAACAGGCCAGAATCTGGAGACTCTACGGAAAAGTCATCAAATTCTGGCAGTTTTCTAGCTTCCTCCACCTTTGCTTCGCAAACTGGTTCCTCCAGGAAGGGCAAATTCAGAGATTCAGGCCTCGAAATGGGTTGTGGAAGACACGAGGAAAAATCTCCAGAAAACAAATTTCCGGCTTCGGTTTTGGGTGCCACATTATAGCCCGAAACAAACCCCTGGAGAAGCATCATATCGATCTGATTTTTCTCGATCGAAGTCGATAACCTGTTTCCTCCATTACTGGAGCTCGAAGCAAGCCAGTCATAGCGACGAGGAGGGAGAGGGAGAGGGAGAGGGAGAGGAGGAGGTGGGGCTTTAGAGGGGAAGGACTGAAAGTGGAATGGGAAGTCAGGAGTGTTGGGGTAATTGAAGTTGGTGCGGGCCTTGACGCCACGCATGGCACGAGCAGCATAGTCATAGGCGCAGGCGGCCTCCTCCGCTGTGTCGAAGGTTCCGAGCCATCGCCGCTCCTTGGACTGGGGGTCACGAATCTCGGCCGCATACCTGCCCCAGGGACGGCGACGGACCCCGCGGTAGCGTGCTGCAGTGGACGGGTCCTTGGCCGCGGGTTTCTTGCCCTTGAGGCAGCAAGGGGAGGTGGAGTCGTGGTGGTGGCTTTTGCACTCGTCCATTTTAGAGAGAGAAAGCGAGAGGGTGATAGGAATTGTGAGCGAGAGTTTTTTAGAGAGAGAAATATATGGGAATTGTGAGGAGAGAGAGAGAGAGAGTGGTGGAAATGGTGAGAGGAGACTGGAGCGCTTTGGGAGGCAGCAGAGGAGTAATAGAGTTTAGAGAGAGAAAGCAACTCGCTTTGGTAATTATCGATCACAGCTTAAGCCCCAAAAAATGTAGAGAGAGAGAGAGAGAGAGTACTGTCTCTAAGGAAAATTCAACAGACAAACCATAGAAGAAGAGTTATAAGGTTTACGAGGAAGAGAAGGACGAGACAAGACTGAGATTTAGTAGAGAGAGAGAGAGAGCAGCCTGAAATTTAGAGAGAGAACGAAGAGAGAGAGAGAGAGATTAGGGAATGTAGAATTGGGAAGCGAAGGGGCGGCTCGCAGGTGTATTTATAGATTGGTGGGAGTGGCGGTTCCTCTAATTTATTTATGTTTTTTATATTTTATTTTCTTTTGCATTTTTCTGGAAATATATTTTTAATTTTTTAAAAAAAACTAATTGATTTATACATGCAGCAGTGGGAACTCTAACGCGTAACCGTCCTTCTCTAGTGGTGGGAGGGTGGCGAGGCTTTCGAGGTATAAATTACCATATTACCCTTGTCATATTCTACCGAAATTTCTGAAGTTTCGTTAAACTCGATTCTTAATTATACGTGGCTTTTTGCGGAATTTGTTAGAGCCTTCCTGCAGGGCAGCTTTCCTTCACCTGAAAGTTCAAAGTCAATGAAGAAAGGGGTATTATTCTATACACCCATTTTTACTTCTTAGGAAGAGGTCGAGTACTTTTAGCCACTAGATGTTAAAGCGGATGGTGTGTTAAGTTTGAGAATTTTCTTTTAAATATAAAAATCATATTAATAGTTGTGACATCTTTATACTAAAAGTAAATAGTTTTTTATTTTATTTTTTTGAAATAAAACAAGCATTTTATATAAAGAACATGTTATTAAATATAAAATAAATTATATAGTGTATGACCATTAATAGAAAATAGTTGGTAAGTCTAAAAAGATACGGTTGAAAGTAATGAAAATAATATAGAGATTAATAGTTTCACTTAGGGTATGACCCATAATATAGTAGAATGATAAATTAAGATTCGTGTGGCTGATCCCAATAAATTTGAAAAAAGCTTCGATAGTGATGATAAAATTACATAATCTATGTGCACAATGTGTGGAGGGTCGTTGGAGAGCCGCAGACCATCTTCACCGGCCGTTTGTAAGGATGCTTGGTGGAGATGAGGTTATCTTAGCAAATAACTAGTTTGTGTATTGTTTGCTTACCCTTAGGCATCGTCTCAGGGAAGGTCTAAAAAAACTCCAATTCGGATCGAAAATCGTTGGGGGTTAATTGGTTCCCATGAATCAGGTTTTTTAGTGGTCTAAATTGTTAGACTAGTGAGATGGTCCGCTCTCAATGATAATGATTGAGAGGAGACGCACTGAAAGATCTTCAAAATTATATAACTAGCCTAGATTGGGTCTCTTTTCATTATGGTAAGCCATACGGATATAACGGTTGAAAACAATGATCTGGATCGATAATCACCGATACGGATCCGATTCAATGGGTGGACGCTTCAAGCCCCCTTGGAATCACCTAATAATGTTATCTGCTGTTAATTTACTGATTTTTTTCAAAGCCAAATTTTGGGTTTTGAAATGCTTGATCATATTAACATGTCTCGCAGGTGCTCCAAAATGCAAAGGGAATAATTATCTACGGGTGAGATTTGTATAAGGTGCGGACTTTATGCCATATAAATAAGATATATCGTTAATTTTTGTTGAAAAGTATAGTTCTGGTATTGGAAACCTTAGGATGACATGAAAATCTATATTTTACCCTAATGATGAAATTTAAAATTAAAAAAAATGTTGTTCGAGTAGATTTATAAGCACTCGAAAATCCTGAAATAGACGGTCCAAAAAACTTATTACAACATACTATATTTTTAGGACCTGAATTATTAGTGTGTATATCTATATATCTCGAAATTGACATAATTAATTAGTAGTTTTCTAACTTCGTAAGACTCTTTTCATTTGGATCTTTGAGATGCACCTTTCTTTTATAATATAAGGTTGCAACCTTATATAAACTTTTTTTCATTAATTATCAGCAGAGAGAGCTGAATGAACGTGAAAAAGTGCAAGCATATGACAATGTATCATTAACATCGTCATGGAATTATAGCTAGAAAATACATAACCCATATCACCTCCCATTTATATGATCTCTATTTCTTTTAAGTGATGATATGCTTCAGATTTCTAAAAACAATTTGCTTTCACGACAACAAGATGCTGAGGGATATTTATTTTTAGGAAAATTGTTTTATGCGGGCTGGATTGCATTTCTACCATATACGGTCGAGCGGGATAAAGCATCCACATCTTAAACATGGATGCAAATAGATATTCCATCTAAAAACAAGTGTAATTAAAGGTCTAAATGTTTTTTTAATATAATTATTATTTATAATTTTTTTAAAAAAATCATATTCATGATCTCCATGTTAAAGTTTATATATTCTTTAAAAATTAAGATTAAATTGTATTTCAAAAATATATTTATTACCAAGCCCACATTTCTACAATATTTCGAGCTCGCTGCATAGAGACCGTGTCCTTATTTTAAACTTTATCCAACGCTCTCGTATCAAATTTCTACACGTCCCCAAATTTCATTGTGATTCAATGTTTCAAAAGAAGATTAGAAGTGAAATATGAAACATGCTGCCTATTGCTCGGCGATATTTGACGACAGGCAACATAATCATAATAATTATTTATTTTTAGGTATATATATATGCGAAGAGAGAGAGACTCATGGCACATGGACTCCTTAGAAAACCATTTTTCATTTGGGTATATTAAAAGGGGCAAACTTTTGATGTCTCCCCTACAACATAAAACTTATGTACTTCCCCTTATCTAACATTCCATTCTAAATAGAGAGTTAAGATTGTCCCAATCATAATGTCACATCACTACACTATTTTATTTTTAAGTTTTTTTCTATAAACGTTTTTGACACCAAAAATTGTACGTCCAATCCTCTATTAAACTCTGACTAACGAAAAATATAAAAAAAATATTTTCAATAAAATAAAATGACAAAAATTCTCCTGAAATTTTCAAGAGGTATTTTGATCATTATATTTTTATTGAAAAATTATTTTTAATATTTTTTATAGGTGCGCCCCAATAAGAAGATGGTACATACCACATTTCATATTCAGATAATTTGTATAAAAAAAATTAAAAATAAAATACTTTGAGACATAGAATCTAAGATCAAACGGTGAGTGGCTCTTTTTATCAAAATTGGACAGCTGGATGGTAGGGGAAGTATAGATCTTCTATGATGTAGGGAAAGTATAGAAACCTTTCCCTATTAGAAGTCCATAATTAATGTATTCAGGTACTACATGTATAATCAGTGTCATTAGAATTGGACTAGGGACCAAACTGGTGAGATGTCTACTTTAGTCAAAACCAATTTGTTTACTGATTAAACATGTTAGATTCGAATGAAAAAAATAAAGAAATATAACTAATAGTCTAAAAATAATTTTCTGGTTAAATAATAGGGTAAAATATGAAGTACATTTGAAAGGAAAAGATTTATGTAGAACCGAGGCTCTAAGTAATCCAATTAAAGCGTACTTAAAAAAATAACTAAAAGAGGTTGTTTCCATGACCAAATATCTTCAAATTGATCATCTCAACATCAAGATTCATGGATATGAGAAAAAAAAAATAGATTTCAAGTTTTGGAAATCATACATCTTGTAATGCATTTTTAGGTCATCGATTTTCAAGATTTTTCAAGTTTTCATAAATATGCTTGATCTACACGATTGTTTAGGCTTTAAATTTTATAATTAAGTATGAATATATGTTTTAAGGCTATCATAAAGATTTTCAATATTGGAATCATATTTCTTGATAATATTTGAAGCTGTGCTTTGCTTTGATTGTTTAGAGCCTCGATTGTATACAAACTGCATCCTATTTAAAATAAAATTAGCCCAAATTAAGTTAGTTAGTCAAACTAGTAAAAAACGGCTATTTAACTAGTCTAACTTGTAAAAAACGGCTATTTAACTAGTCGAACTAGTAAAAAACGGCCTATCCAATAAATCAAAATTGATCCTATTTGATTTGGACCAGTGTTTTATAAATTCAGTTTTGCTTAGACTCGACTTGTTGATCCAAAGTAATAAATCAAAATTGACCCTATTTGATTTGGACCAGTGTTTTATAAATTAAGTTTTGCTTAGACTCGACTTGTTGACCCAAAGTTGACTATGATTAGTTTTTTATATTTAACACACCTTTGCTTTGGACTAGACCAAGCGAAACAACAGCCTACGGTCCTAACGACCAGCGCAATAGTTCTAACCTGATATATGTATAATGAGATAGGTGTATCCACCTTTGTAGCCAAAAAGCTAAGGGCATTGGAATACGGAAGCCGATTGTGCTAATGAGCATTTTGTGTAAGAAAAGTTTATATAAGGTTTCATCGTTATATTGTTGAAGTAAGGCGGTCTTAAAAAATCCTTTAAAAGAGTGTTTCGACATTGAGAAATCTTTGAATTCATCATCTTGACTTTAAGATGTCTGATACGAATAAAAATTAAAATTTGATATCTAAAATTAGTACATATCTAGATTATTTATTTTCAATATTTTTTAATATTTATTATTTTTAAAATTTTAAATTTTATAATTAAGAATATAAATAGATTTTCAAGCCATTTTGGACATTCATAACTACATGTCTAGGCACATTTTATAAAAGCACCTTATTTCTACCTAGGGTTGGCAACAGGTTGGGTCGTCGTCGGGTCCGGTTGAACTCGAAAAAATTGATATAGGACAGATCCGACCGAACCCCACCTAAAAATTTTAAAATATATATTTATTTAACCATAT